GGTGGTCAGGTTGAGGAGTGCTTCGCTTTGTTTTTTTGTGTTTACCTCCACAAGGAGGTCTCCAGAGTAGTTTTTTTTTGCCTTGTAGGAAATCCCTACAAGGTGCTCTAGAACTTTGGCTACAATGAAAGGTGACATCTTTGCAACTGTCTTGTGTTCAAGAGAGTGAACAACAAAAAACTTTGTGAAGGTTTCTATCTCGGGATCTTTGTCAATGGTTTTGTGTTCAAGGCAACGCCATATAAGGGCATGCCCTGAACGGGGCTTAGAAGGGTGGGGCGCCATAGGAGGGCGAAGTGTGTTCAGAATCCGCGGTGCTCCGCCCACCACCGAGCCCAACAAGGGGTTAGGTAACGCAACATAACAAGAAGGGCTTGGCTGGAGACGTTACGCTAAGAGTGCTGCCGGGAAACTAACCCAAGTGTGGGTCAAGACAGAGGTCTATCGCCACCCAGGGTTAGCCCTTGCTGCCAAAAAGAGCCCCCCCCCCCCCCGCCTTGAGTGATGTGCTCATAATGTCACGGGTGGTGGCCGAAAAAACAATAAATAAACAGGAAGGAATACACGTTTAATCTGGCGAACTTGTGCCAAAAATAAGAGGGTACACAAAGAAGAAGAACAGAGCGCTGCGGGCGTCGAAGTCGGCGCAACAGCAGGTTCGAACGCTAGGGCGAGACTGACTCGACAAGGTCGCGGGCGGCCTCTTATCTAGAGTGAGTCACTATCTCGAAGATTCGGAGGGGAAGGTTCGAGCGTAGCGCGCTCGGGGCGAGAATGAACACGCACTTTCTAGATAAACAAAAGCAGGGATAAACGATAGCAGTTATGTTCGCAGCAAGAATAAACGAGAACCTTCTGCAAGTTGCGAGCGGTATTATCCCCCCTTTAAAAGTGCATCGTCCCGATGCAGCAAAAACCGAAAACAAAGAAAACAGAAATAACGGTGAACTAAAGAGTCATTTGGAACACATAAGGTCCACAGTCCTATCGAGCGTATAGTACGGCTTCACGCGCACGACGTGGATGACTTCTGGTCGTGGAGGGCGGCGTGATGAAGTCCGTGTTCGATTGGGCATCACCTCGTAGTTCAGATCCCCGAGTCGGCGAAGCACTTTGTAGGGTCCAAAGTAGCGCTTCAGTAGTTTCTCGCTGAGACCACGGCGGCGGATCGGTGTCCACACCCACACCCGGTCTCCGGGTTGAAAGTGGACGTCCCGGCGACGAACGTTATACCGGCGTGCGTCGACTCGCTGCTGCTCTTGAATCTTGATTCTTGCCAGTTGACGAGCTTCCTCCGCGCGTTAAGAGATCAGTTGAGCGTCGTCGTTGCCATCATCGGTTGGCACGTGAGGCAGCATGGCGTCCAGCATCCTGGTAACCGTCCGGCCGTGTACCAGTTGGAACAGCGTCATTCCTGTGGTTTCTTGTACCGCTGTGTTGTACGCAAATGTAACGTACGGCAACACCTCGTCCCACGTATTGTGCCAGCCGCTCTGTCAGCCCGTTGGTCTGCGGGTGATAAGCGGTGGTTCGTCGATGGCTGGTGTGACTGAGCCGAAGTAGCTCTTGAGTCAGCTGTGCCAGGAAAGATGACCCTCGATCTGGGATCAGCACTTCAGGTGCGCCGTGTCGAAGGAGAATAGACTCGACGAAGAACTTGGCGACTTCCACCGCTGTTCCCGATGGAAGGGCTTTCGTCTCGGCGTATCGTGTAAGGTAATCGGTCGCGACAATAATCCACCGGTTTCCTTGCGTCGATGTTGGAAACGGCCCAAGCAAATCCATTCCGACCTGCTGGAAGGGCGTAGTCGGGGCAGATATCGGATGCAGGAGTCCTGCTGGCTTTGTCGGAGGCTTCTTACGTCGGTGGCACTCATGGCACGACCGTGTGTAAAGATGGACGGTTTTCGGGAGTCTCGGCCAGTAGTACTTGTCACGAATCCTGGCGAGCGTCCTGCTGTAGCCAAGGTGTCCAGCCGTCGGGTCGTCGTGGCATGCTTGAAAGATTTCTTCTCGCAGGCTGGCCGGAACAACCAGCAGCCAGGCAGGGTTGCTCGTTCCGAAGTTCTTCTTGAAGAGTACGCCTCGCCGCAGAATGAAGCTTGACAAGTCTCGGGCCAAGACTCGCGGAACTGAACTTCCTTGACCTTCGAGGTGTTCGATCACGGCGCGAAGTTCCGGGTCGTCTCGTTGAAGTGCTCCCATGTCGGCATCTGTCACTGCGCCGAGAAAACGGGCGTCGTCGTCGTCGTCAGTGCTTTCGGGAGGAGATTCGACTGGGGCCCTAGACAAACAGTCGGAGTCGTTATGCTTGCGGCCAGACTTATGCACAATGGTCACGTCGAATTCTTGCAGTCGCAGACTCCAGCGAGCGAGGCGTCCTGACGGGTCCTTGAGGTTGGCGAGCCAACAGAGAGCGTGGTGGTCGGTGACAACGCGAAACCGGATCCCGTACAGGTACGGGCGGAACTTGGTTAACGCCCAGATGACTGCGAGACATTCCTTGTCGGTCGTCGAGTAATTCTTCTCGGCCTTGGACAGTGCCCGACTTGCGTAAGCGATCACCCTCTCTGCTCCGTCTTGTCTTTGGACAAGTACCGCGCCGTGCCCGGCGTTGCTGGCGTCCGTGTGAACTTCCGTTTCCGCTGATGGATCGAAGTGTCCGAGGATAGGGGGTGACTGGAGTCTTTCCTTCAGTTCGTTGAACGCTTGTTCTTGTTCCTCCCCCAATGGAAGTTCACGTCGTCCTTGGTCAGACGCGTGAGCGGTGCAGAAATCTTGGCAAAATCGCGGACGAAACGTCTGTAGTAAGCGCACAGTCCAAGAAATCTTCTTACGGCTTTCTTGTCTGATGGCTTTGGAAATTCGGCAACAGCGGATATCTTGGCAGGATCAGGGCTTTCACCCTGAGCACTCACGACATGGCCCAGGAATTTGAGCTCGCCGTAAGCGAACCGACATTTTGACGGCTTTAGTGTCAGTCCAGCGTTCTGGATAGCCTGTAGCACGGCTCGCAAACGGCTCAGGTGCTCGTCAAACTCACTTGCGAATACCACGACGTCGTCGAGATAGACGAGGCAGCTTTGCCATTTCAAGCCGAAAGAACGGTGTCCATTACGCGCTGGAACGTCGCCGGTGCTGTGCACAGTCCGAACGGCATCGCTTTAAATTTGTACAGTCCGTCCGGCGTGACGAAGGCAGTCTTCTCACGATCCCGTTCGTCGACCTCGATCTGCCAGTACCCACTCTTCAGGTCCATCGACGAAAAGTATCGGGCATGGTGCAGCCGGTCCAGTGTTGTCGATGCATGGCAGGGGGTACTCTCGGCGGGACGCAGGCTCGGGGGACTGAGGTCGTCGCAGGTACTCGTCGATCTCCCGAGGTCGTTCACCATAACGGGGGCGCGGGTCGTTCGGGTGGAACCCGCGCAGCCCAAGTCGGCGGTATGGGCATCGGCGGTAGGTATGGTCTGCTTCCCCGCAATGGAAGCACAGAGGGCGTCGGTCGGGCGTTCGCCACACATCGGTCTTCCGGGGTGCACGGGGCTCCTGGTTGGCGTACTGGAGCTGGTCGTCGCGGCGTCGGTCGTGCTGCGGCTCAGGAGACTGAAGTCGGGGCGGCGCGACATAAGCTCGAGGAGAAGGCGGTGGCCGTCCGGCCACTGCGGCGTAAGTTAGCGCGGGTTCTTCGGGGACTGCCCCGCTGATGGGAGCCTCTGGTTGAATGGCTCTCTGCACCTCTTCCCGCACGACCTCAGCGATGGAGAGCGAAGCTGGTCGGTCAGTGGCGGGTAGCAGCTTTCGCAGCTCCTCCCGGACGACGTCGCGAATGATCTCGCGAATGCCTGGGATGCTGGAGCCAAGGTCGCAATCGGACGGCGGAACCGCGCTGACGCCGGGTAGCCTCTGGTAGTGGCTGGCTCGGGCTTGCAGAGCACGCTCGATGTTCGTCGCCTCGGTTACAAATCCTTGAATGGTCGTCGGTGGGTTGCGTACGAGCCCACCGAAAATGTCGTCCTTCACGCCGCGCATCAGGATACGCAGCTTCTTTTCCTCGATGGCCTGAGGGTCGGCGCGAGAGCTCAGGCGCAGGACGTCTTCTACGAAACTAGTGACACTCTCCTTGGGGCCCTGGGTCCTGGATTGCGGCAAATCTTCGGCCCTCTCTCTTCGGTGTTGATTGGTGAACGTGCGCGTCAGCTCGTTCTTGCAAAGCTCCCACGAAGTCAAGGAAGCTTCGTGGTTTTCGAACCAGCTCCTTGCAGTTCCTTCAAGCAAGAAATAGAGGTTCTGCAGGCGCTGTTCGTCACTCCACCCGTTGTGGCGAGCCACGCGCTCGTACTGGTTGATCCAGTCTTCGACATCCTCGTAGGTCTCGCCGAGGAAGGGAGTAGGCGTCCGCGGAGCGACGGGCAGGTAAACGACGGCTGGAGCGGCCGGGGTCTCCGACTGGTTGGCCATCGTCGCCCTCCTTGTTTGCCTGGTCCTGGGTGGCAAGGGTCCTAACTCCGGGGGTAGGCCAAGGTTCCGGCGACTTAATCGGATCTCGGTCTGGTCTTCGTTGGGTTCTTGGGGGTTTGTGTTCGGACTTGCACTGCGGGAACTCGGAGGGGAGCGCTGCACGGGCATGCAGTTACCCCGTACCTCCACCAAAATGTCACGGGTGGTGGCCGAAAAAACAATAAATAGACAGGAAGGAATAAACGTTTAATGTGGCGAACTTGTGCCAAAAATAAGAGGGTACACAAAGAAGAAGAACAGAGCGTCGCGGGCGTCGAAGTCGGCGTAACAGCAGGTTCGAGCGCTAGGGCGAGACTGACTCGACAAGGTCGCGGGCGGCCTCTTATCTAGAGTGAGTCACTATCTCGATGATTCGGCGGGGAAGGTTCGAGCGTAGCGCGCTCGGGGCGAGAATGAACACGCACTTTCTAGATCAACAAAAGCAGGGATAAACGATAGAAGTTATGTTCGCAGCAAGAATAAACGAGAGCCTTCTGCAAGTCTGCGCGCAGCAATAATTGAGGAGGGTTTGAGCCCCACACTGGACCCAAGAAAGTACATGTTCCCAGCTATCCCAAAGGACATCGAGCACAACCTGTCAGAAGTAAAAACAAGGACAGATCTCAGACCGGAACTTCGCTTTCGCATTGTGGAGTGGTTGTGTCTTGACCTTTTTAGATACACACTGTGAGTATGCCTATGCCTCTAGTTTGACACATAGTATTGTGCATAATATGTAAAGTTTGTCATTTTATGCTCTCTTTGCCCCCTTTTTCTTTTTCCTTTAAACATTCTGTAAGGATACCCTAAAATAAATGCAAGCTTTTTGTCTATAGGTAATGAACTTTTGCTAACCTTGGCTTTCAAAAGCACTCTAACACTCTATCGCGAAAAACCTGCACGCTTTGTTTTGCCGTTGACTCTTGGTAATTCATGGTTGCCTTACTAAACTTCTTTGTTAAGCATGTGCTTCTGGCAATGATATGTACTCCGAAATGGAAATGCTGTGCTTTAATTTGAAGGCTACACACCTGGACGTGCCTAAGATGGAGGCTTTACTGCACGTTCCAGGATCAAGAAGCTCCAGTAGCAGGAAAACCTTGTGGCAATTACTTTGCTCGTTACTCAGAGCCGTGGTTACATTGAACATAATGCTATGCGACTAACTACTGTTTGAATTGTGCTTCGGCACAGTGCACCCATGTGCCACAGCACTGCTCATTCTTTCACCAACCGGAGAGAGTAGAACTCGCACAGTGTGCAGCAGCACGTCAATCCATTTTCTCTCTGTCCGCCGAGCAGGCTTTACCTTAGGGAGCAGCCTTGGCGTTCATTGAGTTGTGCTTCTTGGTCATTGCAATATCTCGTCAGAAGTTCCCACCCCTGAGTCTCGCAAAATATTGGAAGGGTTACAAGCACTGTTGACACACCAATGTCAAGCACATTTCCTCTGGTGCCGGAGAATGACGATGCACAAAGCATGCCCCCTGTGGCACGTCTAAAGCGACTTAAACTGGTAAAATCCAAGATGTCCATGAAGGCGACTACTAGTAAAAAAAAGGGAGCTCCACCATTTTGCTTTGCAACTCTGTGCTTGCTTTGTAATTCTGTGCTTACTTTGAAGTCAATCAATCTATCAATCTATATTGAACTATCAATTTTACTGATACTTGACAGTCTTGCTGGACTTTTGCAATACCGTTTTGTTTTCGGCTTTGTGGGGGCTTAAATTACTGCAAAACCCTTTATTTTCGCAAGGAAATTAATGAAAGGGTTATGGGTGAAAAATTTTACTCACATCTGATCTAATGTGGAAATCTGGATTTCTTCTGAACCTAGACATTCACTTATTTTATGCCTGTATCACTAAGTTACTTTGAATAAGGCTCACACATAGCCAGGGCTGAAGCTATGGAATCTGTGATATGTCAGATCACATCATGTTTGACAACACAATTCCATCATGCTATGCAGTTAATCTGTCGACGCTTCGCAGCTGAAAATTCCCATTAGATCCAATTCGAATTTTAACTGGTTTTAATTGGAACCAATTGGTTTTAGTGGGTTCCAATTGGAAACACACTGGCCAATGGGTCTCACCAATTGGAAAAAATTTTCCAGTTGGAGTCTTAATGGGTTCCCATTGGTTCCCATTGCAGTGACCAATTGATTGTCCCAAAACCTAGCTGGTACCAATTGGAAATTCCAATGGGAATCTAATGGGAATTTTCAACTGGGTTTCATGTCTTGTGCTTTGTTTAGGTACCCAGGCAAGCTCTACGAGAGAGCTGCTCAACAGCTGGTCCTTCGCCACAAGGTCCTGGCTGACGCAATCGGATCTGGTCATGTACGTTTCAGTTCAACGACACTTTTATTTGTGTTCACGCTACCATAAAATTTTGACTGTACGCTTAACCCTGGAAGATCGCCGACCTTGTTTTTCGGGCTAAATATCCGTGGGGTGAAAGATTGGGAAACATTAATTACCGCACCAATTTCATGCTGTTTCTGAATGGGACTTACTCCTGCTTTAATGCTCTCTGCAATGCTCTGGACTAAAAGAGCTCATGTTGGGGCTCCAAACTACATAAGTTACAGGGAAATGGTGAAATATGCCTACAGTGCCTCTGGGGACAAGCCAAGCTTTATTTCATTGGAATTGCACGGTAACAATAAACATATAGGGTGGCATCAATCCACGGTGTCCGTGTAAAATTCACCAGAAAATTCAACGCCTTCATGTACAGAGTGCACAGTTTCATTAAAGGTGCACTTTCATCGTGAACGCATCGGTGTAAATTTTCTCTGTTTCGTTCCTGTGAAAAGTTAGAACAACATTCTTGGAAATTTCAAAAATGTTTCCGCCATAGACGGTTGAGTTCACCACCGACAGACGCGTTTATTTGCATTAAATTTCAATGGAACGGAGCTGGACTGCCAAGGAAAGCACTTCGAGAAAAGTGCCAAGGGTGCTGGCATTACTTTATGGTGCTGGGGGCATCGGTAAAATCAAGATCTGTCTGATTAAATATTGTTTTAAGGTATAGCATCAACCCGGGAAGCCTGCTCGGGCATTATTTATGAGATATCAAATATCGGTTCAGCATCCCTTTAAGGTTGGGTCATATTCTGACCCCCACCCACCCACACACGCACGCACAAACATGTGCACACACACATGCATAGAAACGTGATAACTGTTTACTAATATTTCTATCTAAGGACCTTACGAAACACTTTTTTATGTGTTCAAATATGCAGGATTCCTGGCACTCTGCCCTCAAGTACAAGTGGAAATATGAAAGGGCGAAAATTGAAAATGACGGCGCAGTAACTTCAAATAAACAGAAGTTTGGCAAGAAACCAAGCTCCCAGGATGCAGCAAATGGCAGCGAGTCTGCCAAACGAGCCTGTCGACAGGTGATTGGAATGTTATACTTTTATCTGAGCTTTTCGTAAATGAAGTTAAAGGCCATGACGTTGATGGATGTGCCCCTTTGAACAAGGATTTTCAGGAAAAAGCATTTCCTTAGTTATTTCACTCTTCCCTCTGAATAGAGACCAGTGCTAGAAACTATCTTTAGCAATCATGTACTATAAGCATCCGTGTGAACCGGCTTGCTTGATGTTTATCTCTCTCCGCTAGGCTTCCAAACAAGTCAACCAAAATATTTTTTTTTGCTCTGACCTTTTCAAACATGGCCTGCTCAATCATTCAAGTTACATGTTTGGCAATACTCTTAAAAGTCAGCTCCCCAGGCGAAGGCTGAGCAAACCCGTCAGTCACTTATTTGCAGAAGTGAATTCTATGCCTGCCTCATAGACCTGTCATGAACGTAGCTACTAATAGTATTATGCTTTTAATTGTTACTCCACCAGCCTGAGAAGCTAGAGACTCCAAGCGAGGACGAGCACAGCATTCAAGGCCACATCAGGTCTATGCAGAAGGAATTGTCCAAGGACGTTCCCAACATGGAGAAAGTTCAAGACGGAATGTCTAGAACCTTCAGTGCACGACGGCAATGGAGAGCCACGGAACATCCATCTGTCCCGGAGATTCTGTCTCGCTACCCGGCTCTGGAGGGAGCAGAAGTAAGTGTTAATTTGGAACTTGCAGTGCCTTTCGGTGTCATCACAATCGCCGACTTGTTGTGTAGTCATAAAGTTTGTATTCTTACCATGAGGATAGATACCTGTGATCAGTTGTGTCGGTGCGGAGGAGGGTTAGACTTTTTCTGCGTATGTACCACACAGGGGATGCATTTCCCTGCTGATTGATAGGCTGGCGGATACCCTGGACTCTTCATTTTGGGTTTTAAAAAAGTGTTCCAACTTAGCAATCACATTGTCATCGTCCTGTAAATGCTTTCCATGCTGTGGGCTCTTCACGTAAGAAAAAGGAAAAAAGTTACATAATTTTTGTGAGTTTCGCAATCTGAGACCAATTGTGAAAAATTGATCCTGCGAGTAAAAGCCAACGATGGCAGATACATAGCATAGCACTTCGGATTGCCAAAGTGTGCCTTTTTGTCCACATTGTGCGAAGAAATGAAAGCGATAGCTGTACCATGTTCACGCAATGCGGGCGAAATACTGCCTTAACCCTTTACTGCTGAGTGTAGCGAATTTGCGGAGCACTGAATTAACGGAGGCTGCACTTTGACATGACCTTCTCAACCCGAAATGCGAGTTGTTTAAAATTTGTGACGAACACTTCTTTACGAGACAGCAAAATGCAACGTGCACCTGTGATGCAAGAAGACACAAACTGCTTTAAAAAAATTCCACCAGCCATAGTATGCATAAGAAAAAATCAAAGCACCACGCACAACTCTTTAGAACAATTGTTAATTTTTTTAAGGCACACCAAAGTGAATTATCTTTTCATTGCAGCAAGCAGTTTCACTCGAAGCACTATTTTTTTTAATACTTTGACGTGTCTAACCTACTTGTTCAGGCCTAACTGCCAGATGTCATGAATTGACATTGTACCACATAATTAGCTTAGGTCAAAAATAATTTGGGTAATCGATTACATATACCAAGCAAAAGATTAAGCATTGAGAAGATAAATCTTAAAATGCATATTTTGAAATTCTGGTTTCAAATGGCATATGAGGACGCAGGTAGAAAGCAGTCTAGGAAGAGCAGCCTCATCGTTACTTCCAAGAGTGCTCCGTGATGGTGAGGTTACAGTAACTGTGTAGGCTTTGCATTCTTAAAATAACATTGCAAAGCGAAACATTTTTTTTTGTCACACATGTCATAAAGAAATATTTTGAACGAAAAAAAAATATTTTAGGACATGCAGAGCTAGATTTACGGCTTTAGGCTTGTTTCAGTCGAGTGGTTTTCCTTTCCACTTTTCTCTCCCGAGCCTGTATTTTCTCCACGGAGGAAAGGTAATCCCCTCTCATATTCGAGGGATCGGCTTACCTATTACCCCACGAGACTAAATGCTAGGAAGAGCATTAAGTACGCAAGCAGACGAATTCGCGCCAACTAAAGCGAGTCTTGTGCCATAAATATAGCTCTGAATTTCTTCTTTAGACACGCGTGATCTATCTAGAGTGGTAATTTTTTGTAGTGTTTTTTTAATGTGTTGACATGTCATGAAGGCGCCCTGGCTTAACTATATGCTCGTATGTAGCACAGTAGCGCAATGGTACAGTCGCCGCAGGAGTTAATGCGAGCGTGCGTTTTTTCCCCCCATGGGCGGTTTACTGGCGGCTTGAGATAGAAATCGAGACGACGTCACAGTCTGCCCATGTGGAGTGGGCCGTGATGTCATCTCTATTTCTATTGCAAGTCGCCAGTCGACCACCCATGGGTAAAAAAAAACTCGCACTCTCATAGAGCTATTAACTCCCGTGGTTACTGTACCTACAGGGTTGCCAGCTTCGCTACAGGCACTGCGAGAAGCGGCAATAATTTTTTAAGAGAAACTTGTTTCGTGGCAAGAGCGATCGAGGCGACCATTGTTTACGTCGTATGGCGTAAACCATACGTGGCAGTGTCATAATGGTACACCCTAAACTTACCCATAATGTACAGGCAAATAAAAGAGGTTATCAGGGTCAGCTTCGCGGATCTGCAACATTTCTAAATGCAACATTTATGTTGCATTTAGAAATAGTGTAGATTCGTTTTGACATTCCTTTTGCAGGGATGAGTGCAGCAGACTCTTTGCAAAGCTGCAGCACCTTCCGCCGGTGACAAAGGGCATGCGATATCGCAGACTTGCCATAGCCAATTATGAAGAGTTGTTAAGCAGGCAAGGAGAGACAAGAAGCAAGGCCATAGGAAGGTTGTGGTGACAGCACTTCGCATGTGGCCTTTGGGGATTTTTGCAAGTTGTCTATTGTGGGACGCAATAGGGGGCAACCTTCATCATGAGCAGATCATTGTGCATGATGTTGCAGGATGACTCATGACTAATGCAAAGCATTCTGAATGTGCCACGACTACAGCCATGAGCACTTGCCCCTAGGTAAAAATTTTGCATTATTTTTTTCTGATTATTTCAGATTTTTCGGGAATTGGAAAGGTTTGGTGGGGACCCACCAGTCCAGACAACCATTGCGGTGGCAGAGAAACAGGTGAACACTGCGCTCGACGCGGCAGCGAAGAAGGCGGGCAAGACCACTTTTGAGATGTTGGAGAAGGCAGAGGTATGCGACACTGAGGGTCAGAAATGTGAGAGAAAAATGGAGAATTGGTGCCCATAGTAACCCTGAGACGTAGGAAAAATAAAAAAACGGACAGTACAACGAAGTCTCTAACACAGCTTGAAAGTTTATTTAACAACCATCGTCTTATATACCATGTCACCGACCTCCAACACAATTCAAAAGACCTCCTCGCCCACTTCACAGTGTACCCTCGCCCTCAACATATACCGACAAACGCACACAAAAGCAAACACGCCCGAAACACAAGGGGACACTAACTTGAAAAGGGAATGCCGGAATTTCCGCACTTGGCAAGGTCAGGCTGAACCCAACAACACTTACAAACTCTTTTGTTCCCCTATCAAGGGGGCACCAGTGCCCCCCTCTTCATGGAGGGAGTGCACATGCTGGTTCGCTGGTTCTAGACAGGCCGGCAAATGCCGCACCTGTTTGCACTTCGCGGTCTTCTCCCGATGAGAGGGGGCGAAACTCCCGCCCGACCTCCTCAGAGAGGACCTCCTCTTCGAAAGAGCGGCACAACCCTCGTGCCGCTCCCCCAGTACCCAAGGGGCCGGAGGAGGCAGAGTTGAAAGACACTCTGCCCAGCACCTCCGGTGCCTCTTCGGCTGGTCGTGGCCGGGGCAAGCCACCCCGCACAACGAGCCAGCCAAAACCTTCAGGTAAAGGCTCGCCTCCAGAAATAGAGGCGATGGATGATACCGCTGAGTCACCCACTCCTGCATCCGACGAGGGTGACATGGAGTGGCAGACTTTGAAGTCTAAAGGGAAAAAACCAGTGGTCCCTCCCAAATAACCATTAATTTCATACTCTCAATTTCTTCATTGCCTCTCTCTTTTTAATTTTACACTTCACCTTTTTAGATAAATGAAGAATTTGCATTTTATGCAGTGGAACTGTCGTGGTCTTTTACCCAATATTGATGACGTTAACTATTTTATGGATGATCTTTGGCCTATTGCCCTCTCTTTACAAGAAACTCATCTTCAAACACATCATACACAGATTTTACGACGTTATCAAGTGTTCCGCAAAGATCGTCTGAGCTCCAGTTCTGGTGGCGTAGCAGTGGTGGTGCAGAGCGGGGTTGCCTGCTCTGAGGTCCCTCTCTGCACACCGCTCGAAGCTGTAGCGGTACGCCTTCTTTTAGACCGCCTCATTACAATTGTGTCCATTTATTTGCCACCAAACGTTCCATTGCAACTTCACGAACTTCAGGGTCTTGTAGGACAGCTTCCTCAACCCTTCTTAATTTTAGGAGATTTTAATGCCCATCACCCCATGTGGGGCAGTACTCGCCTCGATTCTCGAGGCCGAGTAATTGAGCGGTTTTTATTATCATCTAACTTGTGTATTTTTAACGGGAGAGAGCCTACTTTTTTTAGTTCTGCTCACAACTCATTTACATCTATTGACCTTTCTATTACTTCACCTTCATTACTTCCATGCTTTTCATGGAAGGTTTTTAATAATCCCTTTGGGAGCGATCACTTCCCGATTGTTTTAGAGAGTACTGTCTCTCTTCCGACTCTGTTAACACGAATGCCCCGATGGAAACTAGATAAGGCAGATTGGTCCATTTTTCAATTAGAGGCACTGATTGATTCTTCTATAATTTCAAACATGAATCCAGATGAAGCAACGCTGTATGTCACAGAGGTTATAATACATGCTGCCACACGGAGTATCCCTCAAACGTCTGGTCGTCTTCCTAAGAGATGCAAGCCATGGTGGAATGATGACTGTAAAACAACACGAAAGTCCCAGAACAAAGCTTGGTGCATCTTTCGTAGATATCCAACTTCTAGTAACTTACTTGAGTTTAAGAAAACGAGAGCTAAAGCTCGCTGGACAAGACGCCAGGCGAAGGGAAGCTCCTGGAGAAAGTATTTGACGTCCTTGAGTAGTTTTGTATCTACAAAAGAAGCGTGGGATCGGCTTAGAAAGATTAGGGGCGACTACTTACCTTTCAGAACTCCTCTCTTCCCTGCATCATCTTCAACATCTCTGAAAGATCAAGCGAATGTTCTTGGGAAACATTTTCAGGATGTTTCTAGTTTACGCAACTGCAGTGAAGCCTTTAAAAAGTTCCGTTCGACAGCAGAGAAACAACCAATCATTTTGTCTGGTGCTCGTGACGCTCCGTACAACAGGCCTTTTACACTCTCTGAGCTCAAAGTGGCTCTTAGTGTAAAGAAACAGTCTGCTCCTGGACCAGATAATGTTCATTATGAGATGTTAAGGCACCTGTCACCTGATTCTCTAGGCAGTTTGTTGACCTTTTATAACTCATTGTGGCATCGCTCTGCATTCCCCGAGGTTTGGAAAAGAGCTCATGTAATCGCTCTTCTGAAGCCTGGCAAAGATGCTTCTCAACCAACTAGCTACCGACCCATTGCTCTCACAAGTTGCTTGGGAAAAACCTACGAAAGAATGATTAACCGACGTCTCATTCATTTCTTGGAGAGTGAGAATGTGCTTGACATTAATCAGTGTGGTTTTAAAGCTGGACGTTCCACCCTGGACCACTTAGTCCGCCTTGAAACCTCTATTCGTGAGGCGTTTGTACACCGCCAGGTCTGTCTCTCTGTGTTTTTTGATCTGCAAAAGGCGTACGATACAACGTGGCGCTATGGGATCCTGCGGGATCTTTATGCTTACGGTGTTCGGGGTCGCATGTTGCGATGCATACAAAGCTTCTTAATGGGACGTACTTTCCAAGTCCGTCTGGGCTCCACCTTATCAGATGTGTTTTCTCAAGAAAGTGGTGTCCCTCAGGGAGGGGTGCTTAGTGTCACACTTTTTGCAGTTAAAATCAATAGCCTGGCTCAGGTGATACCACCGACAGTATCTTATTCTTTGTATGTGGATGATGTGCAAATTTCAGTTTCTTCTTGCAATCTGCATAGTTGTGAACGTCAACTGCAACTGACAATCAACAGGATGAGCAAGTGGGCAGCCGAAAATGGGTTTCGCTTCTCCCCCGACAAAACCGTATGTGTTCTTTTTTCGCTGCGTCGAGGGTTGTCACCGGATCCTACCTTGCATCTGAATAACGTTACCATTACTGTTAAGGAGGCGCACAAGTTTCTAGGCGTGATATTCGACAAGAAGCTCACATTCGTACCCCATTTGAAAGAACTAAAACGAAAATGCCTACGATCTTCCAATATTCTTAAAGTGCTGTCGCACACAACTTGGGGGTCTGACAGACGATGTCTGCTGCGAATTTATAACGCTCTAGTGCGGTCCCGGTTGGATTATGGTGCACCGGTATATGGGTCGGCACGACCATCTGCTTTGAAGATGTTAGACCCAATCCATCACCTTGGCCTGCGTCTAGCCACAGGTGCTTTTCGCACGTCGCCCGTGCCGAGTCTGTATGCTGAAACACATCAGATGTCCCTTGAGCGACGCAGACAATATCTTAGTCTCTGCTATGCCTACAAAGTTTATAGTGATCCAGACCACCCTGCATTCTCTGCTCTGCAGACCTCTGCATCATTGCGCCTTTTTGAGAATAAGCCCAGTATTGTTCGGCCCTTGAGCCTTCGGGCTGAGAGCATGGCAAGGTCGCTGCACCTTTGTTTTGATGAGCCTCCTTTGTTGAGACAGGCCTATAGGGTTGCTCCTTGGGATTTGGTGCCAATCTCTTGTGATTGGTCACTTTCAAAGTACAGCAAAAAGGTTGTTCCTCGTCTTGTTCTCTTGCGGGAGTTCGCAGAGCTAGAGAAGAAATATAGTGACTATCTCCACTTTTACACTGATGGCTCGAAAACATTGAATTGTGTAGGCTGCGCAGTTTATTCTCTCGCTTTCAGTGAAGTGAGGCAACTCAACCCTCTAGCAACTATCTTTACTGCTGAACTGTATGGTATCCTGATGGCTATTGAATATATTCTAGAAAATAACATTAACAAAGCAGTTCTGTTTGTTGATTCCCAAAGTGTTCTCTTAGCTATTTCATCTTTAGCAGACAGCAAGAACGCTCTTGTGCAACAGGTTCGTTTTCACATAAACAAAGCTTTCCATCTAGGACAATTTATAAACTTCTGCTGGGTGCCCAGTCATGTGGGCATTCCCGGTAACGAGAATGCAGACCATCTTGCACTTTCTGCAAAAAATTACACGGAAACGTCTTTTGGCCTGCCGCACCAAGACCTCAAGCCAGCCTTAAACAAGTCAATTATTAAGTTATGGCAACAGGATTGGGACACACAGATAGATAACAAACTTCACATTATTAAGCCCAACTTAGAAGTATGGGAGAGTTCCTCCCATAAGGACCGCCGTTCGGAAGTTCTTTTATGCCGCTTGAGAATTGGTCATTCTCGATTGACTCACCTGCACTTGCTCTGCGGTGAAGATGTAAAGCTCTGTGAAAAGTGTGGGAAAATGTTAACTGTCCTTCACATCCTGTGGAATTGTAGATTTTTGGATCATCAACGTCGAAGATATTTTCCAGAACTTTTCAGAAACCACCTTCCATTTCATCCTTATTTTTTGCTTGGTGATAGACCTTTGGTACCATTTGCTCGCGTTTTAAGTTTCCTACATGCAATTGGCCTTTTGCACTTGATATAGATAAGTAAAGTTAGATGTAAATGCAAGGCTCCTTAAATTAACTTTCTTGGCGCAATATGGCCGTAGTCGCTCTTGCGCCATTAAACCCCAATCATCATCATCATCATTCCCCTATCAAGAAGCAAAAAAGGTTGTCCGAAAAAGAACTACAAAAAACCACACGCAAAGGAAGAGAGGAACCCGAACCGCGAAACAATTGGCCCATCACTTAACCGAGAAAAAAAGATTTGCAAACCTAGAAACTTTTTCGTTCCCTTATCAAGGGATAATGAAGGTTGACTGATACAATTCCCGAAGCTTAAAATACGCAAAGTTTTAACACTCTCCTATGGCAATTCTTCTCTCTATGTAAGACTTCCGTGCCCTCCCACTCCGGTACACAGTTGTTGCACTCGCCTTCATGTTTAGCAATTTCAGAGTTC